TCCGCCTGTCTTCAATGCGCATTACGTTGCACGAGGCTTCAGTCAGCGACAGGGAGATGACTTCTTCCAGACCTTCTCCCCTACCCCAAAGATTACCACTCTTTGGGTGCTGCTGCACGTCGTCGCTCAGCGTGACTATGAGCTACACTCGCTTGACTTCAGCACAGCCTTCCTACAGGGCAGCCTGCACGAGGAGATCTGGCTGCGCCGCCCACCTGGCTTCACTGGGTCGTTTCCTGCTGGTACCCAGTGGAGCCTCCGGCTGCCAGTCTACGGTCTCCGCCAGGCACCCCGTGAGTGGCACGACACACTGAGGACGACTCTTGCTGCTCTTGGTTTTGCTCATTCCACTGCTGACCCGTCGCTGTTTCTACGCACCGACGCCACTCTGCCGCCGTTCTACGTTCTCGTGTACGTAGACGACTTGGTCTTCGCTACTGCTGACACTGAGGCACTTGCCCATGTGAAGTCGGAGCTGCAGAAGAGACACACGTGCACAGACCTGGGTGAACTGACAAGCTATCTTGGCTTGCGGATCACCCGGGACAGAGCACAGCGCACCATTACCTTGACTCAGTCACACATGGTGCAGCAGGTCCTTCAGCGCTTCGGCTTCACGTACTCCTCGCCACAGTCCACTCCTCTGCCTACCGGTCACTCGCTCTCAGCTCCACCTTCGGACGAGTCCGTAGAGCCGAGTGGCCCGTATCCAGAGCTTGTGGGCTGCCTCATGTACCTGATGACTTGCACACGACCTGACCTCGCGTACCCTCTCAGCCTTCTGGCTCGCTACGTGGCTCCTGGCAGGCACCGAAAGGTGCACTGGGATGCTGCAAAGAGGGTGTTGCGCTACTTGTGCAGTACGTCGGGCATGGGGCTCGTGCTTGGAGGACGGGCTCGAGTTGTCCTCACTGGTCACGCAGACGCTTCCTGGGTTGACGACTTGGCTACGCAGCGGACGTCACAGGGTTACACCTTCAGCCTCGGCTCCGGTTCTGTCTCTTGGCGGTCTACCCGCTCGTCTTCTGTTCTCAGCTCCAGTTGTGAGGCTGAGATCTACGCTGGGGCCATGGCTGCACAGGAGTTACGCTAGCTCACCTACCAGCTGACCGACTTGGGAGAGGCGCCTCGTTCTCCTCCAGTTCTGTACGTCGACAACAAGGCAATGCTTGCCTTGTGTCAGGAGCACAGACTGGAGCACAGAACGAAGCACATTGCTCTGCGCTACTTCCTTGCTCGAGAGTTGCAGCAGCGTGGTCAGCTTCGTCTTGCTTACGTGGCCTCTCGGGCCAACACTGCTGATGTTTTTACCAAGGCACTTCAGCCTTGTGATCATCAGCGTTTCTGTACTGTTCTAGGCCTTGTACCTACTGCGCCTCACTTGCTTACTTCTTGACTCTGCTTGTACTGTGATCTCTATACATATACTTGCATGCTTACACTTGCTAGGTTGTGATCACTTTATTGCTTGTTCTCCTTTATATAACTCTGCATGTGAACTGGCCTTGTGGCCATTTGCTTGTGCTCATAATGTGTGGTGACTTTGTGATCCACCCTGAGCTTGCTTTGCCTTTCTTGACCGGTCTTGTGACCTCTTGTTCTCCCCCACTTTGCCTATGGGGGTGTGTCAAAGTTATATGCTATAGTCTGTTTAAGCTGTAGTGGGGTAGTTCATATAGGGTACAACACTTTTAGGTTTCCTACTTGTACCCACCTGCTTGCTAGTTCAGTCATTCATTCGTTCACGATTCTGACAGATACCAGCCGCGATCATCAGCGACCGTGATACGAAATTTACCAGCAATTTCTGGCGGAACCTGTGGCAGCAGTTCGGCACGAGGCTGTAGTTCAGTTCTTCGTACCACCCCGAAACCGACGGACAGACAGAGTGGACAAATCAGACCATGGAGCAGTTAATCCGAGCCACGTGCGACGACCCCACCACCTGGGAACAGCAACTTCCACTAATCGAAATCGCGTACAACAATTCGCCATCCGCCACGACCCAACAGTCACCATTTTACCTTAACTACGGACAAGACCCTACAGTACCCATGACTCTGAATCCCGACAACCTGGTGCCACGCGCGCAACAATTCGCAGAAGTCCTACAGGAAGCACGGACCAGGGCAGCAGACGCAATTAAAAAGGCCAACGTCATCGCTAAGCGCAACGCCGACCGCCACCGCAGACCCGTCACTTACCAGCCCGACGACTTAGTTCTACTCGACACCCAAAACCTCCGCTGCCCATAACTCCAAAACTCCGCCCCTGATATTGTGGGCCATTTCTCATCAGCCACATGGTTACACCCGTAACCGCCCACCTCCTCCTCCCTCCTGACTGGTACGTCAGCCCGTCCTTCCACGCCAGCCTGCTTCGCCCCTACATTCCATCCACCAGCCAACTGGCCCGACATCGCCCAGTAAGCATGACACGACCACCGACTGAACCAGTCATCACGCCCGAGAAGATTCCGAGCCACCGAGTTCGTGACCCACGAGGAGCTCGAAGGGTCGAATTCCTGATCCGCTGGAGAGAGCGCACGCCCACCGAGGACAATTGGGTTCCACTGGACAAAATCGAAAACCACCCCGTCCTCAACGAGTATCTGCGCAGCCGATAATTCCGAGATATACACGCGCTCTCGTAAAGAGAGGCCTCCTTAAGGGGGGGGGGGGTAGTGTAAGGAAAATTCATTTTCCTTACTTCGCGTCCCTGCTCAGCGCGTACACCACTGTTCCCGCCAACAGCACCCCACAATATTCCGTTACCACTCGCGACATTCGCCTCGACACCATTCCCGCCACTGTTCACGATGCGACCCAACCTCACGGTCCTGTTGGTAACCCGCGCTCTGGACCTCCGCCTCGACAGTCCCCCAACATCGGCATCAGGTCCGTCGCGCACCCCATTTTCCACATGTTACCGTTACCACCGTAGCTTCGCTATATATTCTTCGCTCAATCCTTCGCTCATTGTATTCTTGTCTTGATAGTGCAATCCTCGCTCGATCACTCAATTGCACTCGTAACAACTGTGATCTATATATACACCTGCATGCTTGCACTTGCTAGGATATGATCACTGTATTGTTTGTTAACTTTATATCACTCTGCATGTGAACTGGCCTTGTGGCCCTTTGCTTGTGCTCGGACTGTGTGGTGACTTCGTGATCCACCCAGAGCTTGCTTTGCTTTGCTTGACTGGTCTTATGACCACTTGTTCTCCCCCACTTTGCCTATGGGGGTGTGTCAGAACATTATAGCTTTTACATTTGTGTAGACTATAGTGGGGGTAGCCCACAAGGGGTACAACCCAATTAGGGTTAGTACTTGTACCCAACTCTTTGCTAGTTCATTCATTCTCGTTCACAAGATTCTAACAGTCCCATGCGTTGGGTATGGCAGGGACCCGTCAAAGAATCCGAGTATTTGCGCGCCCTCCATCATCAGCTCGAATTCGAATGACCAGGTATAGAAGTCATTTCCATCAAAAGGTGTTGACTTCTGTAATTTTAACACATGCGCGAATTGTGATTGGACTTGAAGTGCGTCCAATGTCTTCTCTTGTCCAGGTGAAGACTGTGGGTGTGGCGCGAAGCTGATGGAGCCACGTTGAGGTTCGTATGGAGCAAAGGTGGGTTGCTGTTGATTTCCCCGCGCATACGATGAATCGTCAAGGCTCATTGGAGTGGCCATGTTGTTGTTGTCGCTGTTGTTTGATTGTGCAGGAGCTGCTTGCTGGTGTTGCTCGTAGAAGGACATGAAAGGAGAAGAACTTCTCCATCATGCTTGGGTCGAAGCCTGGTGCTTGATTCCCGGGAGTTTCGGTCGACTCCGCAGCTGGTCTTGTTGCTACATATGCCTTCTTCTGTCTATAGGCCAGAGGCTGGACGTGGAGTAGGAGTAGTGCCGAGAGATCCGTTAAAGGAGCTCCTCTCCTTCTGTGTTGCCATGTCTTGCGTTGTTGTAGGTATTTGAGAAATCGATCTTACCCTGTTTGCTCTCATACCATGTTGGGCTGAGAAATAGCCCTTAGGATCTTTCAAGGCTAAGATCTGTTGAAGTAGTGATGTTGTAATTGCGGAAGCGATAATATCAGAGTTGCTGAACCACCTTGTACTGGTGTGTGAGAACAAGATAAGTTGATAATAGCAGAGAAATACAAGGCTTTTATATGATTACAAAGGAATATGAAAAGTTTTACTTTTTTCGTAACTGTTTTTTTTTTTTTTTTTTTTTTTTGCTGTTGCAGTTCGATACAGTGCTGACTCGGGTAACTGCTCAGTATCGAGTCAGTTATGTGTCCCTGCTGTCGCACTGTATTTTTCGTCGGGTCAAAGGTCAGCGACCTTTGACCTTCGCATAACCTCCAGCGGTTGCTTTTGTTGACTCGTGTTGCTTCACTGTAGTCTGCTTCGTTTCGTGTCGATACTTCGATACTTCAGAAGCGTTTAAGTTACTTGTTTCCAACAAAACAAACCGTAGTCTGATTTGGGAAAGTGAAGTCTGAGCACTTCAGACTTAGGGTTTTGTTAAACCTGTAGAATCAGAGTGGCCAATCCCTGAAAAATCCGCAGACTAAAAAAAAAATTACCCCCCAAAAGATCAGACTGGTTTTTTGTTATTAGTCAGCCCTGCTACCGTATGTACGGTATGTAGCCTCCAGGGCATGGGGTGGGGATTAACATTGTGTGTTCCCAGGGCACTGTACTTGCAGTGTCACTCGTATGGTAACTTGGGCGGCAAAATCCCTTGCACAATGTCAAGAGCAAAACAGTTCCTCCTTTATTACCAGGTAACAAACACAGCTATCCACATGAGGTGTCACAAAAATGAAGCTGGGCAACACAGCTAGGGGGATCAAATGAATGAATCACGTATGGTACAGATAAGGAGCCTCAGCAAGCGGATCAGCACTTGTCCAGGTGAGGCGGGAAGACTGCAGGTGTGCAGTGTGGTGCCGTGCGTGCAGGGTGGCCGCAGGAGGCGGTGAGATCAGATGGCGCAGGCAACAGCCTTGACGAGGGCCACGTTGCCTGACGTGGTGCTGCATGCACACAGCAAGGAGGTGGGCACAGCACAGCAATGAGTGGCAAGTGTTGAGAGAGGAAGCGAGCCACACACCAGGGGCAAAGGGCAGGAAGCTGCTAGCATCGAGAGAAAAGAAACACAGCGGGTGCAGGAGGCAGGGGGCAGGGGACAGGGGGCGGGATGCAGGGTGGGAGCACTGACGCGAAGTTGGTGACGTCCCCGGCGGGGCGGTAATAGCCGGTGGCGGAGCCGTAGCAGGAGGCGCTGGTCCAGAACCACAGCAGCCCGCACGACTGCTTGGGCGCCCCCGTGCTGTCCGGCACGTTCCACAGCACGCGCAGCGACGCCGCTGCAATGCCGCCGGGGATGTCGACACAGCTGCCGCGCGAGGAGTTGGCGGGCAGCCCCGTGCGCACGAGGGTGGGGCCGAGCGCAGGGGCCGTGCTGGTGTAGGACGCCGTGTTGTAGACCGCCAGGCTCGTGGCTGCCACGGCTGCAGGCGTGCCCTGCACACACACGTTGCTGCCCAGGTACCACCCCGTGGGGCACTGGCAGAACGGGTACCCACTGCCGTCCACCGCACATGTCGCAAGCGCCGGGCACACCGCCCCCACACACGCCGGCGCTGCAAGCAATAGCGAGGGAAGGGCAAAGGGGCGAGGGAGGGAAGGTGTGAGAGGTGTGGTGTGAGGAGGAGGGGCGGTGGGGCAAAGGATCAGAAGGGATGAGAGACGAAGGGAGCGGAGTGGGCAGGCAGGGGAGAGGGGAGAGCGGAGCACTCACGGACACAGGTGGCGGCACTGATGGGTACGAGGCCGGTGGGGCAGGCGCACTGAGCAGTGCCGGAGGAGCCGTCACACACAAGGTTGCCGGGGCACGTGGTGGTGCCGCTGGTGCAGGGGTCGGGCTGGCACGTGGCGTTGTTCACCAGCACCTGCCCCGCCCCGCACACACACATGGGCTGCCCGTACCGCACCGTGCACGTCGCCGTGGACGGGCATGCCACCCGGTAGCACGGGTCTTGCACTGTTGGGGGGAAAGCAAGAGGGGGAAAGGATTGACGAGAGGTTGAGGAGAGAGAGGCGGGTGCATTGAAGGAATCCATGGGGGGAAGAGTGTGGTGGGTGTTCAGGGTGTGGAGCACTCACCATAGGGCAGCTGGTGTTAAGGGTGTGGAGCACTCACCATAGGGCAGCTGGCCACCATAGTTGCCAGGAGGGTAGTAGTTGCACGCCCACACATCTGCCTTCGTGCCGCACGATGCCTTGCCACAGCCCACCGTGCGCGTGTTGTTCCAGATGACCTGCAGGGAAGATGAGCCACGGAGCACATGAGCCACGGAGCACATGAGCCACGGAGCACGAGCACATGAGCCATGGAGCACATGAGCTACGCAGCACATGAGCCACGCAGCACATGAGCCATGGAGCACATGCGCCATGGAGCACATGAGCTACGGAGCACATGAGCCATGGAGCACATGAGCTACGGAGCACATGAGCCATGGAGCACATGAGCTACGGAGCACATGAGCCATGGAGCACATGAGCCACGGAGCACATGAGCCACGGAGCACATGAGCCATGGAGCACATGAGCCATGGAGCACATGAGCCATGGAGCACATGAGCCATGGAGCACATGAGCCATGGAGCACATGAGCCATGGAGCACATGAGCCATGGAGCACATGAGCCATGGAGCACATGAGCCATGGAGCACATGAGCCATGGAGCACATGAGCCATGGAGCACATGAGCCATGGAGCACATGAGCCATGGAGCACATGAGCCATGGAGCACATGAGCCATGGAGCACATGAGCCATGGAGCACATGAGCCATGGAGCACATGAGCCATGGAGCACATGAGCCATGGAGCACATGAGCCATGGAGCACATGAGCCATGGAGCACATGAGCCACGGAGCACATGAGCCACGGAGCACATGAGCCACGGAGCACATGAGCCATGGAGCACATGAGCCATGGAGCACATGAGCCATGGAGCACATGAGCCATGGAGCACATGAGCCATGGAGCACATGAGCCATGGAGCACATGAGCCATGGAGCACATGAGCCATGGAGCACATGAGCCATGGAGCACATGAGCCATGGAGCACATGAGCCATGGAGCACATGAGCCATGGAGCACATGAGCCATGGAGCACATGAGCCATGGAGCACATGAGCCATGGAGCACATGAGCCATGGAGCACATGAGCCATGGAGCACATGAGCCATGGAGCACATGAGCCATGGAGCACATGAGCCATGGAGCACATGAGCCATGGAGCACATGAGCCATGGAGCACATGAGCCATGGAGCACATGAGCCATGGAGCACATGAGCCATGGAGCACATGAGCCATGGAGCACATGAGCCATGGAGCACATGAGCCATGGAGCACATGAGCCATGGAGCACATGAGCCATGGAGCACATGAGCCATGGAGCACATGAGCCATGGAGCACATGAGCCATGGAGCACATGAGCCATGGAGCACATGAGCCATGGAGCACATGAGCCATGGAGCACATGAGCCATGGAGCACATGAGCCATGGAGCACATGAGCCATGGAGCACATGAGCCATGGAGCACATGAGCCATGGAGCACATGAGCCATGGAGCACATGAGCCATGGAGCACATGAGCCATGGAGCACATGAGCCATGGAGCACATGAGCCATGGAGCACATGAGCCATGGAGCACATGAGCCATGGAGCACATGAGCCATGTGCACATGAGCCATGGAGCACATGAGCCATGGAGCACGTTACTCCAAGCAGTAACGTGCGAACAGATCCTGTTCAAAGGTGCACCTTGGATGCTCTCGTCCATGCATGGTGCTCACCTGCGTGTAGTGGCCGCAGTCAGCCCAGTTGCCGGTGCTGCAGCCCCCGGAGAAGACAGCGTAGGAGTAGAGGTCGCCCTCGCCCACCCACCAGCTCACGGCCGCCCCGTTCGAGTAATAGCCGGCCGGCCCACCCCCTGAGAGGTTCTGCCCCTCGCCGGGGTTGCCACCGTGCGACAGCCCGCAGTTGTACGTGCTGTTGGTCAGCACCGTTGCCCACGCCTGTGCCTCCGCCGCCACTGGCACGAGCACCAGGGGGACGAGGAGGGGGGTTGAGACATGGAGAGCGAGGAGAGGCAGAAGGACGCACACAAGGGCCAAACCAAGAGGCAGAGGCACGAGGAAGGGCAAGAGGCACTCACGGGTGGCGTTCCAGACGAGGGGAATGGCGCCCACTGCCGCCCTGGCGGCATTCTGGTTGTCCAGATAGTCCGAATTCGCCAACGTTGCTGCACTCAGGGGCGAGGCGTGGGGGGTGGTGGAGGCATGGAGGGAGATGTGTGAGGGAGTGAAGGAGAGAGCAAGGCTTGGAAGAATGCAGTGCGAGCAGCAGGGAAGAGCAGGGAGGAGAGCAAGGGGGGTGGAGATCAAGGGGGGCGGAGAGCAAGGGGGCAGGAGGGGAGGAGGGAAAGGCGGGAGAAGCACGGACCGTTGGTGCACTTGTTGTCAATGAGGCGCGTGTAGGGCGCAGGGCACGTGCAGACGGGCGCGCCGAGCATGTAGGTGCACTTGGAGACGTCAGGGCACTTCACCCCGTAGCACAGATCTGCTCGCCCCGGCAGTGGGAGGGGGAGGTGGGGGAAGGGGGAAGGTGCAGAGGGGAGTGAGCAAGGGAGGCGGCATGGAGGGGGGAAGGGGTGGGGAGGGGGGAGGTGGATGGGGGGGAAGGGGGTACAAAGCGAGGAGAGCAGTAAACCAAGGAGGACAAAGGGGGCAAGACGCAGGGCGGAGGAGGATGGGGGAAAGAAGGGGGGGCGGGGAAGCAGCACTGACCGGGGCAGTCACACTTGGCGACGCCATTGGAGGAGGAGCACGTGCAGTTGGCCGGGCATTTCACCAGCGAGCAGGGCGCGGCCGCTGGTGGGGTGGGGGAAGAGGGGGGAGAGGAGGGAAAGAGGAGAGAGGAGGGAGTGGTGTGCATGGTGGAACAGTGGTGCGTTGCATAGGTAATCAGAGAGCGTGCAGTGGGGAGTGAAGACAGGTTGAGGCAGCAGACAAGGAGCAGAGAGCAAACGCAGGTGCGAGACAGGAGAACGGCTGGAGTGGCGTACGCTGGCAGGCGCCGCTGACGAGGGTGTACCCCACGGCGCACACACACGTGGCCACGCCATTCACGTTGCTGCACGTGGCCTTGGCGGGACACGTGGTAGACGCACAGGGGTCCGTGATCACTGCACGCACCAACAGGGACCAAAGGGAGGGTGAAAGAGGTTGGAATGAATGGGTGAAACGAGGGGTTGGAAGGAATGGGTGAGGGGAGGAGAAGGGTCGACACACATGTGCGAGCGTGCACGTAAAAGAACTCACCAACGCACTGCACGTATAAGAACTCACCAACGCACTGCAGGTATAAGAACTCACCAACGCACTGCACGTATAAGAACTCACCAACGCACTGCACGTATAAGAACTCACCAACGCACTGCACGTATAAGAACTCACCAACGCACTGCACGTATAAGAACTCACCAACGCACTGCAGGTATAAGAACTCACCAACGCACTGCAGGTATAAGAACTCACCAACGCACTGCACGTATAAGAACTCACCGACGCACTGCACGTATAAGAACTCACCAACGCACTGCACGTATAAGAACTCACCAACGCACTGCACGTATAAGAACTCACCAACGCACTGCACGTATAAGAACTCACCAACGCACTGCACGTATAAGAACTCACCAACGCACTGCAGGTATAAGAACTCACCAACGCACTGCACGTATAAGAACTCACCAACGCACTGCACGTATAAGAACTCACCAACGCACTGCACGTATAAGAACTCACCAACGCACTGCAGGTATAAGAACTCACCAACGCACTGCAGGTATAAGAACTCACCAACGCACTGCAGGTATAAGAACTCACCAACGCACTGCACGTATAAGAACTCACCAACGCACTGCACGTATAAGAACTCACCAACGCACTGCACGTATAAGAACTCACCAACGCACTGCACGTATAAGAACTCACCAACGCACAGCACGTATAAGAACTCACCAACGCACTGCAGGTATAAGAACTCACTAACGCACTGCACGTATAAGAACTCACCAACGCACTGCACGTATAAGAACTCACCAACGCACTGCAGGTATAAGAACTCACCAACGCACTGCACGTATAAGAACTCACCAACGCACTGCACGTATAAGAACTCACCAACGCACTGCACGTATAAGAACTCACCAACGCACTGCACGTATAAGAACTCACCAACGCACTGCACGTATAAGAACTCACCAACGCACTGCACGTATAAGAACTCACCAACGCACTGCACGTATAAGAACTCACCAACGCACTGCAGGTATAAGAACTCACCAACGCACTGCACGTATAAGAACTCACCAACGCACTGCAGGTATAAGAACTCACCAACGCACTGCAGGTATAAGAACTCACCAACGCACTGCACGTATAAGAACTCACCAACGCACTGCAGGTACAAGAACTCACCAACGCACTGCAGGTAAGAACTCACCAACGCACTGCACGTATAAGAACTCACCAACGCACTGCACGTATAAGAACTCACCAACGCACTGCAGGTATAAGAACTCACACTGCAGGTATAAGAACTCACCAACGCACTGCACGTATAAGCACTCACCAACGCACTGCAGGTATAAGAACTCACCAACGCACTGCACGTATAAGAACTCACCAACGCACTGCAGGTATAAGAACTCACCAACGCACTGCACGTATAAGAACTCACCAACGCACTGCACGTATAAGAACTCACCAACGCACTGCACGTATAAGAACTCACCAACGCACTGCAGGTATAAGAACTCACCAACGCACTGCACGTATAAGAACTCACCAACGCACTGCACGTATAAGAACTCACCAACGCACTGCAGGTATAAGAACTCACCAACGCACTGCAGGTATAAGAACTCACCAACGCACTGCAGGTATAAGAACTCACCAACGCACTGCACGTATAAGAACTCACCAACGCACTGCACGTATAAGAACTCACCAACGCACTGCACGTATAAGAACTCACCAACGCACTGCACGTATAAGAACTCACCAACGCACTGCAGGTATAAGAACTCACCAACGCACTGCACGTATAAGAACTCACCAACGCACTGCACGTATAAGAACTCACCAACGCACTGCACGTATAAGAACTCACCAACGCACTGCAGGTATAAGAACTCACCAACGCACTGCAGGTACAAGAACTCACCAACGCACTGCAGGTACAAGAACTCACCAACGCACTGCACGTATAAGAACTCACCAACGCACTGCACGTATAAGAACTCACCAACGCACTGCACGTATAAGAACTCACCAACGCACTGCACGTATAAGAACTCACCAACGCACTGCACGTATAAGAACTCACCAACGCACTGCACGTATAAGAACTCACCAACGCACTGCACGTATAAGAACTCACCAACGCACTGCACGTATAAGAACTCACCAACGCACTGCACGTATAAGAACTCACCAACGCACTGCACGTATAAGAACTCACCAACGCACTGCACGTATAAGAACTCACCAACGCACTGCACGTATAAGAACTCACCAACGCACTGCAGGTATAAGAACTCACCAACGCACTGCACGTATAAGAACTCACCAACGCACTGCAGGTATAAGAACTCACCAACGCACTGCAGGTATAAGAACTCACCAACGCACTGCAGGTATAAGAACTCACCAACGCACTGCAGGTATAAGAACTCACCAACGCACTGCACGTATAAGAACTCACCAACGCACTGCACGTATAAGAACTCACCAACGCACTGCACGTATAAGAACTCACCAACGCACTGCACGTATAAGAACTCACCAACGCACAGCACGTATAAGAACTCACCAACGCACTGCAGGTATAAGAACTCACTAACGCACTGCACGTATAAGAACTCACCAACGCACTGCACGTATAAGAACTCACCAACGCACTGCAGGTATAAGAACTCACCAACGCAATGCAGGTATAAGAACTCACCAACGCACTGCAGGTATAAGAACTCACCAACGCACTGCACGTATAAGAACTCACCAACGCACTGCACGTATAAGAACTCACCAACGCACTGCACGTATAAGAACTCACCAACGCACTGCACGTATAAGAACTCACCAACGCACTGCACGTATAAGAACTCACCAACGCACTGCACGTATAAGAACTCACCAACGCACTGCACGTATAAGAACTCACCAACGCACTGCAGGTATAAGAACACACCAACGCACTGCACGTATAAGAACTCACCAACGCACTGCAGGTACAAGAACTCACCAACGCACTGCAGGTAAGAACTCACCAACGCACTGCACGTATAAGAACTCACCAACGCACTGCACGTATAAGAACTCACCAACGCACTGCAGGTATAAGAACTCACACTGCAGGTATAAGAACTCACCAACGCACTGCACGTATAAGCACTCACCAACGCACTGCAGGTATAAGAACTCACCAACGCACTGCACGTATAAGAACTCACCAACGCACTGCAGGTATAAGAACTCACCAACGCACTGCACGTATAAGAACTCACCAACGCACTGCACGTATAAGAACTCACCAACGCACTGCACGTATAAGAACTCACCAACGCACTGCAGGTATAAGAACTCACCAACGCACTGCACGTATAAGAACTCACCAACGCACTGCACGTATAAGAACTCACCAACGCACTGCAGGTATAAGAACTCACCAACGCACTGCAGGTATAAGAACTCACCAACGCACTGCAGGTATAAGAACTCACCAACGCACTGCACGTATAAGAACTCACCAACGCACTGCACGTATAAGAACTCACCAACGCACTGCACGTATAAGAACTCACCAACGCACTGCACGTATAAGAACTCACCAACGCACTGCAGGTATAAGAACTCACCAACGCACTGCACGTATAAGAACTCACCAACGCACTGCACGTATAAGAACTCACCAACGCACTGCAGGTATAAGAACTCACCAACGCACTGCAGGTACAAGAACTCACCAACGCACTGCAGGTACAAGAACTCACCAACGCACTGCACGTATAAGAACTCACCAACGCACTGCACGTATAAGAACTCACCAACGCACTGCACGTATAAGAACTCACCAACGCACTGCACGTATAAGAACTCACCAACGCACTGCACGTATAAGAACTCACCAACGCACTGCACGTATAAGAACTCACCAACGCACTGCATGTATAAGAACTCACCAACGCACTGCACGTATAAGAACTCACCAACGCACTGCACGTATAAGAACTCACCAACGCACTGCACGTTTAAGAACTCACCAACGCACTGCACGTATAAGAACTCACCAACGCACTGCACGTATAAGAACTCACCAACGCACTGCAGGTATAAGAACTCACCAACGCACTGCACGTATAAGAACTCACCAACGCACTGCAGGTATAAGAACTCACCAACGCACTGCAGGTATAAGAACTCACCAACGCACTGCAGGTATAAGAACTCACCAACGCACTGCACGTATAAGAACTCACCAACGCACTGCACGTATAAGAACTCACCAACGCACTGCACGTATAAGAACTCACCAACGCACTGCACGTATAAGAACTCACCAACGCACTGCAGGTATAAGAACTCACCAACGCACTGCACGTATAAGAACTCACCAACGCACTGCAGGTACAAGAACTCACCAACGCACTGCAGGTACAAGAACTCACCAACGCACTGCACGTATAAGAACTCACCAACGCACTGCACGTATAAGAACTCACCAACGCACTGCACGTATAAGAACTCACCAACGCACTGCACGTATAAGAACTCACCAACGCACTGCACGTATAAGAACTCACCAACGCACTGCACGTATAAGAACTCACCAACGCACTGCACGTATAAGAACTCACCAACGCACTGCACGTATAAGAACTCACCAACGCACTGCAGGTATAAGAACTCACCAACGCACTGCACGTATAAGAACTCACCAACGCACTGCAGGTATAAGAACTCACCAACGCACTGCACGTATAAGAACTCACCAACGCACTGCAGGTATAAGAACTCACCAACGCACTGCAGGTATAAGAACTCACCAACGCACTGCAGGTATAAGAACTCACCAACGCACTGCAGGTATAAGAACTCACCAACGCACTGCACGTATAAGAACTCACCAACGCACTGCACGTATAAGAACTCACCAACGCACTGCAGGTATAAGAACTCACCAACGCACTGCAGGTATAAGAACTCACCAACGCACTGCAGGTATAAGAACTCACCAACGCACTGCAGGTATAAGAACTCACCAACGCACTGCAGGTATAAGAACTCACCAACGCACTGCAGGTATAAGAACTCACCAACGCACTGCAGGTATAAGAACTCACCAACGCACTGCACGTATAAGAACTCACCAACGCACTGCACGTATAAGAACTCACCAACGCACTGCAGGTATAAGAACTCACCAACGCACTGCACGTATAAGAACTCACCAACGCACTGCAGGTATAAGAACTCACCAACGCACTGCACGTATAAGAACTCACCAACGCACTGCACGTATAAGAACTCACCAACGCACTGCACGTATAAGAACTCACCAACGCACTGCACTTATAAGAACTCACCAACGCACTGCACGTATAAGAACTCACCAACGCACTGCACGTATAAGAACTCACCAACGCACTGCACGTATAAGAACTCACCAACGCACTGCACGTATAAGAACTCACCAACGCACTGCACGTATAAGAACTCACCAACGCACTGCACGTATAAGAACTCACCAACGCACTGCACGTATAAGAACTCACCAACGCACTGCACGTATAAGAACTCACCAACGCACTGCACGTATAAGAACTCACCAACGCACTGCACGTATAAGAACTCACCAACGCACTGCACGTATAAGAACTCACCAACGCACTGCACGTATAAGAACTCACCAACGCACTGCACGTATAAGAACTCACCAACGCACTGCACGTATAAGAACTCACCAACGCACTGCACGTATAAGAACTCACCAACGCACTGCACGTATAAGAACTCACCAACGCACTGCACGTATAAGAACTCACCAACGCACTGCACGTATAAGAACTCACCAACGCACTGCACGTATAAGAACTCACCAACGCACTGCACGTATAAGAACTCACCAACGCACTGCACGTATAAGAACTCACCAACGCACTGCACGTATAAGAACTCACCAACGCACTGCACGTATAAGAACTCACCAACGCACTGCACGTATAAGAACTCACCAACGCACTGCACGTATAAGAACTCACCAACGCACTGCACGTATAAGAACTCACCAACGCACTGCACGTATAAGAACTCACCAACGCACTGCACGTATAAGAACTCACCAACGCACTGCACGTATAAGAACTCACCAACGCACTGCACGTATAAGAACTCACCAACGCACTGCACGTATAAGAACTCACCAACGCACTGCACGTATAAGAACTCACCAACGCACTGCACGTATAAGAACTCACCAACGCACTGCACGTATAAGAACTCACCAACGCACTGCACGTATAAGAACTCACCAACGCACTGCACGTATAAGAACTCACCAACGCACTGCACGTATAAGAACTCACCAACGCACTGCACGTATAAGAACTCACCAACGCACTGCACGTATAAGAACTCACCAACGCACTGCACGTATAAGAACTCACCAACGCACTGCAGGTATAAGAACTCACCAACCCACTGCACGTATAAGAACTCACCAACGCACTGCACGTATAAGAACTCACCAACGCACTGCACGTATAAGAACTCACCAACGCACTGCACGTATAAGAACTCACCAACGCACTGCACGTATAAGAACTCACCAACGCACTGCAGGTATAAGAACTCACCAACGCACTGCACGTATAAGAACTCACCAACGCACTGCACGTATAAGAACTCACCAACGCACTGCACGTATAAGAACTCACCAACGCACTGCAGGTATAAGAACTCACCAACGCACTGCACGTATAAGACCTCACCAACGCACTGCAGGTATAAGAACTCACCAACGCACTGCACGTATAAGAACTCACCAACGCACTGCACGTATAAGAACTCACCAACGCACTGCACGTATAAGAACTCACCAACGCACTGCACGTATAAGAACTCACCAACGCACTGCACGTATAAGAACTCACCAACGCACTGCACGTATAAGAACTCACCAACGCACTGCAGGTATAAGAACTCACCAACGCACTGCACGTATAAGAACTCACCAACGCACTGCAGGTATAAGAACTCACCAACGCACTGCACGTATAAGAACTCACCAACGCACTGCACGTACAAGAACTCACCAACGCACTGCACGTATAAGAACTCACCAACGCACTGCACGTACAAGAACTCACCAACGCACTGCAGGTATAAGAACTCACCAACGCACTGCAGGTATAAGAACTCACCAACGCACTGCACGTATAAGAACTCACCAACGCACTGCAGGTATAAGAACTCACCAACGCACTGCAGGTATAAGAACTCACCAACGCACTGCAGGTATAAGAACTCACCAACGCACTGCAGGTATAAGAACTCACCAACGCACTGCACGGTATAAGAACTCACCAACGCACTGCACGTATAAGAACTCACCAACGCACTGCACGTATAAGAACTCACCAACGCACTGCACGTATAAGAACTCACCAACGCACTGCACGTATAAGAACTCACCAACGCACTGCACGTATAAGAACTCACCAACGCACTGCACGTATAAGAACTCACCAACGCACTGCACGTATAAGAACTCACCAACGCACTGCACGTATAAGAACTCACCAACGCACTGCACGTATAAGAACTCACCAACGCACTGCACGTATAAGAACTCACCAACGCACTGCACGTATAAGAACTCACCAACGCACTGCACGTATAAGAACTCACCAACGCACTGCACGTATAAGAACTCACCAACGCACTGCACGTATAAGAACTCACCAACGCACTGCACGTATAAGAACTCACCAACGCACTGCACGTATAAGAACTCACCAACGCACTGCACGTATAAGAACTCACCAACGCACTGCAGGTATAAGAACTCACCAACGCACTGCACGTATAAGAACTCACCAACGCACTGCAGGTATAAGAACTCACCAACGCACTGCACGTATAAGAACTCACCAACGCACTGCACGTATAAGAACTCACCAACGCACTGCAGGTATAAGAACTCACCAACGCACTGCAGGTATAAGAACTCACCAACGCACTGCAGGTATAAGAACTCACCAACGCACTGCAGGTATAAGAACTCACCAACGCACTGCACGTATAAGAACTCACCAACGCACTGCACGTATAAGAACTCACCAACGCACTGCACGTATAAGAACTCACCAACGCACTGCAGGTATAAGAACTCACCAACGCACTGCAGGTATAAGAACTCACCAACGCACTGCAGGTATAAGAACTCACCAACGCACTGCAGGTATAAGAACTCACCAACGCACTGCACGTATAAGAACTCACCAACGCACTGCACGTATAAGAACTCACCAACGCACTGCACGTATAAGAACTCACCAACGCACTGCACGTATAAGAACTCACCAACGCACTGCACGTATAAGAACTCACCAACGCACTGCAGGTATAAGAACTCACCAACGCACTGCACGTATAAGAACTCACCAACGCACTGCACGTATAAGAACTCACCAACGCACTGCACGTATAAGAACTCACCAACGCACTGCACGTATAAGAACTCACCAACGCACTGCAGGTATAAGAACTCACCAACGCACTGCACGTATAAGAACTCACCAACGCACTGCACGTATAAGAACTCACCAACGCACTGCACGTATAAGAACTCACCAACGCACTGCACGTATAAGAACTCACCAACGCACTGCACGTATAAGAACTCACCAACGCACTGCACTTATAAGAACTCACCAACGCACTGCACGTATAAGAACTCACCAACGCACTGCACGTATAAGAACTCGCCAACGCACTGCACGTATAAGAACTCACCAACGCACTGCACGTATAAGAACTCACCAACGCACTGCACGTATAAGAACTCACCAACGCACTGCACGTATAAGAACTCACCAACGCACTGCACGTATAAGAACTCACCAACGCACTGCACGTATAAGAACTCACCAACGCACTGCACGTATAAGAACTCACCAACGCACTGCACGTATAAGAACTCACCAACGCACTGCACGTATAAGAACTCACCAACGCACTGCACGTATAAGAACTCACCAACGCACTGCACGTATAAGAACTCACCAACGCACTGCACGTATAAGAACTCACCAACGCACTGCACGTATAAGAACTCACCAACGCACTGCACGTATAAGAACTCACCAACGCACTGCACGTATAAGAACTCACCAACGCACTGCACGTATAAGAACTCACCAACGCACTGCACGTATAAGAACTCACCAACGCACTGCACGTATAAGAACTCACCAACGCACTGCACGTATAAGAACTCACCAACGCACTGCACGTATAAGAACTCACCAACGCACTGCACGTATAAGAACTCACCAACGCACTGCACGTATAAGAACTCACCAACGCACTGCACGTATAAGAACTCACCAACGCACTGCACGTATAAGAACTCACCAACGCACTGCACGTATAAGAACTCACCAACGCACTGCACGTATAAGAACTCACCAACGCACTGCACGTATAAGAACTCACCAACGCACTGCACGTATAAGAACTCACCAACGCACTGCACGTATAAGAACTCACCAACGCACTGCACGTATAAGAACTCACCAACGCACTGCACGTATAAGAACTCACCAACGCACTGCAGGTATAAGAACTCACCAACGCACTGCACGTATAAGAACTCACCAACGCACTGCACGTATAAGAACTCACCAACGCACTGCACGTATAAGAACTCACCAACGCACTGCACGTATAAGAACTCACCAACGCACTGCACGTATAAGAACTCACCAACGCACTGCACGTATAAGAACTCACCAACGCACTGCACGTATAAGAACTCACCAACGCACTGCACGTATAAGAACTCACCAACGCACTGCACGTATAAGAACTCACCAACGCACTGCACGTATAAGAACTCACCAACGCACTGCACGTATAAGAACTCACCAACGCACTGCACGTATAAGAACTCACCAACGCACTGCACGTATAAGAACTCACCAACGCACTGCACGTATAAGAACTCACCAACGCACTGCACGTATAAGAACTCACCAACGCACTGCACGTATAAGAACTCACCAACGCACTGCACGTATAAGAACTCACCAACGCACTGCACGTATAAGAACTCACCAACGCACTGCACGTATAAGAACTCACCAACGCACTGCACGTATAAGAACTCACCAACGCACTGCACGTATAAGAACTCACCAACGCACTGCACGTATAAGAACTCACCAACGCACTGCACGTATAAGAACTCACCAACGCACTGCACGTATAAGAACTCACCAACGCACTGCACGTATAAGAACTCACCAACGCACTGCACGTATAAGAACTCACCAACGCACTGCACGTATAAGAACTCACCAACGCACTGCACGTATAAGAACTCACCAACGCACTGCACGTATAAGAACTCACCAACGCACTGCACGTATAAGAACTCACCAACGCACTGCACGTATAAGAACTCACCAACGCACTGCACGTATAAGAACTCACCAACGCACTGCACGTATAAGAACTCAGCAACGCACTGCACGTATAAGAACTCACCAACGCACTGCACGTATAAGAACTCACCAACGCACTGCACGTATAAGAACTCACCAACGCACTGCACGTATAAGAACTCACCAACGCACTGCACGTATAAGAACTCACCAACGCACTGCACGTATAAGAACTCACCAACGCACTGCACGTATAAGAACTCACCAACGCACTGCACGTATAAGAACTCACCAACGCACTGCACGTATAAGAACTCACCAACGCACTGCACGTATAAGAACTCACCAACGCACTGCACGTATAAGAACTCACCAACGCACTGCACGTAGAAGAACTCACCAACGCACTGCACGTATAAGAACTCACCAACGCACTGCACGTATAAGAACTCACCAACGCACTGCACGTATAAGAACTCACCAACGCACTGCACGTATAAGAACTCACCAACGCACTGCACGTATAAGAACTCACCAACGCACTGCACGTATAAGAACTCACCAACGCACTGCACGTATAAGAACCCACCAACGCACTGCAGGTATAAGAACTCACCAACGCACTGCACGTATAAGAACTCACCAACGCACTGCACGTATAAGAACTCACCAACGCACTGCACGTATAAGAACTCACCAACGCACTGCACGTATAAGAACTCACCAACGCACTGCACGTATAAGAACTCACCAACGCACTGCACGTATAAGAACTCACCAACGCACTGCAGGTATAAGAACCCACCAACGCACTGCACGTATAAGAACTCACCAACGCACTGCAGGTATAAGAACTCACCAACGCACTGCACGTATAAGAACTCACCAACGCACTGCATGTATAAGAACTCACCAACGCACTGCACGTACAAGAACTCACCAACGCACTGCACGTATAAGAACTCACCAACGCACTGGCCGGCAGTCATCTGGTAGCCCGCAGAGCACGTGCACGTGGAAACGCCATTGACGTTGGAGCATGCTGAGTTGGCGGGACATGAGAATCCCGCGCACGGGTCCGATGGGGGCAGCGCTGCTCGCAGGGGAGGGCGGAAGGCATGGGGCATGGCGGGGAAAGGGGACAGGAACCGGAAGGGAAGAGCATGATGCAGAGGGAGGAAATGAGAGTGGGGGGACGGTGCAGTGAACGAGGGTGAGAATGCCGAGAAGAGGGGGAGGAAGAACGAAGGGGAGGGCAGGAAAGAGCAGCAGGGTGCAGCGGGGAGCAGGGGAGCATACCAGCGCACTGGCCGTTGACCATCTGGAAGCCCGCAGTGCACGTGCACGTGGCGACGCCGTTCACGTTGGAGCACACCGAGTTGAGCGGACAGTTGGCCGTCGCACAGGGGTTGGGCACTGCCCGGTGAACCAGGGAGCGGGGGGGAGGGAGGGGAGGAAAGAGGGAGAGGGGGGTGAGCAGGGAGGAACAGGGGCAGGGGCAGGGATGTGATGGAGAGCAGACGGGACCGTATCAGATTTAATGGAGAGGAGAGGGAGAGCGGAGGGGCATGGAAATTGCTACGCCCAGGAGATGATGTATTCGCGACGCTCGCGGCACCCGCCATTGAACGCGCAGCAAGGCACCATCGACAGCAACACTCACCAACGCACTGGCCGTTGACCATCTGGTAACCCGAATTGCACGTGCACGTGGCGACGCCATTCACGTTAGAGCATGCTGAGTTGGCGGGACAGGTGTACCCCGTGCATGGGTTGGGCACTGATGTGGGTGTGGGGAGGAGAGTGCAAGGGGACAGGCAATAAAGCGCATTGGCGAGAGGCAGGAGAGACATCAGAGGTGAAAAAAGGAGAACGGAGGAGGAAATGGCTGAGAGGGGAGTGGAGTGCAGAGAGGAGGTAGAGAAGGGGGGGAGAAGGAGGAGAGGTGGAAATTGATGGAGCGAGAGAGAGGAGGCAACTCACCAACGCACTGGCCGTTGACCATCTGGTAACCAGAATTGCACGTGCACTTGGCGACGCCATTCACGTTGGAGCATGCTGAGTTGACAGGACAGGTGTACCCCGTGCACGGGTTGGGCACTGGTGTTTGGAGGAAGAGAGAGCGAAAGAAAACAAAATCGAGTCGGTGAGAGACCATTGACATCGGAGGTGATTGGGAGGACGGGACAGGATGTAGGGAGGGGAATGGAGAGGAGAAGAGGTGAAGAGATTTGGGGAGATCTAAATGGGTAGGTGAGATTGGAGAGTTGGTGGGGAGGAAGAGAGGTAGGCTAATGAAATGGAATTAACGGAGGTGACTCACCGACACACTGGCCGTTGACCATCTGGTAACCAGTATTGCACGTGCACGTGGCAACACCGTTGACATTTGAGCATGCTGAGTTGGCGGGACAGGTGTACCCCGTGCACGGGTTGGGCACTGGTGTTTGGGGGAGGGGAGCGCAAGGGGACGGGCAAAAAACGAATTGGATAGAGGCAGAAATAGGAGGTGAAGAGAGGAGAGATGGAGGGAGGGATTGGAGATGAGAAGAGGTGGAGAGATTGGGGGAGATACAAGCAGGACGTCGGAGGTGAGAAGGGGGGATCGGGGGAAGGCAAAATGGGGGGGGAATGGAGTGGAGAGGGAGTGGAGGTGGAGAGAGTGGAAAAGGGATTGATCCTTTGAGGTAGGGGAGGGTGGGGATCGGCAAATGAGATTAAATGGAGTCAACTCACCGACACACTGGCTGTTGACCATCTGGTAACCAGTATTGCACGTGCACGTGGCAACACCGTTGACATTTGAGCATGCTGAGTTGGCGGGACAGGTGTACCCCGTGCACGGGTTGGGCACTGGTGTTTGGGGAATGGGATAGCAAGGGGACAAACAAGAACTCGGAGGTGAGAGGGAAGGAATCAGGGGAAGGAGAAATGGCGGAGAAAGGGAGAGGAGGAGTGGAGGTTGAGAGAGTGGAAAAGAGATCGATGCAAAGTAGGAAAGAGGAGGGGAGGGTGAGGGAGCAGAGAGGAGATTGATAAGCGAGATTGAAAGGAGTTAACTCACCAACGCACTGGCCGTTGACCATCTGGTAACCAGTATTGCACGTGCACTTGGCGACGCCATTCACGTTGGAGCATGCTGAGTTGGCGGGACAGGTGTACCCCGTGCACGGGTTGGACGTTGTTGCTGACAGAAGGGGGAGAAGGGGGAGAATGGGGAGAAGGGGAAGTAGGGGCATAAGGGGCGGGAGAGAGTGAGGGCGCGGGTTGCGTGGCGTTAACGCTGCATTGCGCAGCACTGCGGAGCAGAGAGGTGACTCACCAACGCATTGCCCGGCGACCATGCTGTATCCAGCGCTGCACGTGCACACGGCGGCACCGTTCACCACGGAGCATGCGGCGTTTACGGGGCAGGTCTTGGTGGCGCAGGGGTACGTGTTGGTGGCGATGGCGGCCTGGCACGAGATGGACCTCGCCGTCAGAATAATGCCGCTCGTCGACCTGCACGTGGTCAACGAAGTCAGAGTCAGTCAACGCAGCCAGGGTCAGTCAACGCTGTCAGAGTCAGTCAACGCGGTCAACGGCAAGCATGGAAGCAGAGGAGGAGTGTCAGCGACGGGACGGAATGCGGGTGCATGGGGAGCGGCGGGCGTGCAAGGGCGCGCGGGTGTGTGGCGGGATGAGGCGCGGCTCACTTGACGCTGGTGGTGGTGTAGGTGAACTTGTTGGGGTCGACGGCGGTCCACCCGCCGGGGATCTGGTAACCCGAGCCGGAGCAGCAGCAGTTGGGTTTGTCCCAGAAGAAGAGCTTGCCGCACACCAGGTGGTTCGCCACGCCGTCGTTCACGTTCCACATGATCCGCAGCGACCCCACAGACCCGTTGAACGCGCCCGACAGGTTCACGCACGCGCTCGAGTTCGGCGCCGCGCCGCGCAGCACGGCCGGCGCGAGCGTGGTGGGCGAGTTGGCGTAGTTTGCCCTATTGTAGAGGACGACGTTCGTGCCGACCTCGGCCCAGCTAGCGGCCGGCGCGCACACGCCGTTTATGATGGCCTGCCCCGCAGCGCACTTGCAGAAGGGGTAGCCGCTGCCGTCCACCACGCACGTCGCGCCCGCCGGACACACCACGCCCGCGGGGCACGACGCTAGAAGAGGGAAATTGGGAAGGGGGAGGGGGAGCACGGGCGCGCGGGGCGGTGCAAGGCTCGAAATCAGAATGGCGGGAGGGGAAACGACACAATTGAGGCCGTTCGTGGCGAGATTCTCAAAGCTCGACGCTGAACTCTCGTTTGGCGGTCCGGCCCGTGGAGTCCGCAACGGCAATGCTGTCTGAAGGACGGGCGCACTGACCTTGCAGCTCGCGACGGCTGCTGCTACTTGCGGCGCCGTCCGCTTCGGCGAGAGGCGTGCGTGCTGCGGCGAGGCGATGTGAAGATAGTAGACATACGTGCAGCAACAGTAGGAGTACGATCGGCCTCATTCTCTCAGTCAGTGAATTGCAATGCGATAATGGAGCGATGTTGGATTCAGGGAACAGGACCAGGGCGCGGTAGGTGATACACAGCTGTAAGAACTGGTTTCGTAAGCCTCTGCTTTCACTCAGAAAATGGCTGATTGACTAAAAGATGGGCTGATTGATATGTAGACAGACAGGCAACTCCAGGCCAGGTAATACACGGATTTCCTGAACGCCAACGCACCCACAACTGATTCAGGTTCCATCTGATCACCAACACTCCTCATTTCGCAGTCTCACGCAGCAGTTCCACAACTATGTAACTAACTGTATTTGTCGTCTACAATCTACCACGTAACTGTACCAGACGTCATCCGCTGGAGTGAGGGCCAAGTGAGGGAGAGTTTTCCATTTCCATTCCACCGACACGTACAGTTCGGATCGGATGCCCACTTCATCATAACGGCGGCTCTGTAGTACGCCATAACTGGTGTTCGTAGGGGTGAGAGTGACGTGGCCGAGTGAACCTGGCGGTTTGTGTACAAGTAGTACAGTTGCCCTCTTGTTCTCGATTGCGGCGCAGGCAGGCGTTGTTGGGCTGGGCTTTTGGTGGGAAATATATTGCACTGCCTGCGTCAGCAGGCAGTGCAATGTGTCAGCGGGCAAGGACAAAATAAAACCCACTCGGAAGGCATGCCATTCGGGAGGCATCAACCCTGAAATTTTAGGGTTGAGGCTCCCGAATGGCATGGAGTCCGAATGGGTTTTAGTTTTTTTCTGCCCGCGGTCAGCATGCTGACTCACTTGGTAGCGTCGTCTAGCGAAATAGTAGCGCCACCGAGCGCTACCAACGCTACCAAGTGAAATATATTGCTGTATACTGTTCATTACATTAGCCTAGTGTTAGGCCCCTAAATCCTCTAAAGAATAGCGGAGCCGGCTAAGTCTAGGATAAAACGCGGCGGAAGACTTTGGCGAAAGAAGTGTTGGCGAAATAGGCGAAGAAGTTACTGAGTAATAGTTGAATGAGAATTCGTTGATAATGGCAAGTACAAGCAAGGTTAATGTAGCATGCAATAGCGAATGTCGGAAAGTAGTTCGTAGGAGTACGAAGTAGAATGCAAGAAAGCTAGAGTGCCACGTGGCACAAAAAAATCAAGGGAATCCCAAAGGGATTGGATGGAGATAAGGTTGGGATTAGTTTGAGGGAATGTTTAGGATAAAATATGTTGAGATATGAAAATATGAATGGTGAATGACTAGCAATGGGAGATACAAGTATGAAACCCTAGCTGGGGTTGAACTATATACTGAGCACCTCACTGTAGCCTAGCAGAACTAAGAACATAGAAATATGTTTTGACACACCCCCCCAGGCAAAGTGAGGGATAGCCAACACAACAAACGGTTACAAGACCAGTCAGGCAAGAGAACAAAACAATGCAAAGCCCAGGGTGGATCTCAAGATCACCACTCATTCTGAGCACAAGCAAGCGGCCACAAGGCCAGTTCACACGCAGAGTTATAACAGCAATGCAGTACACTGATCACAACCTAGCAAGAGGAAACATGCAGGTATAAATATAGATATCTGTGTACAACAAGTGCAAGATCAAGAAACAAGCAGGTGAGGCAAAACGGGCAGAAGTCCAAGAGCGGTGCAAAAACGATGAAGATAACCAGACTCGAGGGCCTTGGTGAAGACATCAGCAGTTTTGACCCGAGAGGCCACGTAGGAAAGGCAAAGCTGAACACGCTGCTGCAACTCTCGAGCAAGAAAGTAGCGAAGAGCAATGTGCTTCGGCTTGAGTCTCTGTTCGCGACACAAGGCCAACATGGCCTTGTTGTCGACGTACAGAACTGGAGGAGAACAAGGCCGCTCCACCAAGTCGGTCAGCGGGTAGGTCAGCCAGCGTAGCTCCTGTGCAGCCATAGCCCCAGCGTAGATATCAGCCTCACAGCTGGAACCAAGCACAGAAGAAGAACGACTGGACCTCCACGAGACAGAGCCAGAGCCAAGACTGAAGGTGTAACCCTGTGATGAACGCTGAGTCGCCTGGTCGTCGGCCCGAGAAGCGTCGGAGTGTCCTGTGAGTACCACAAAACCCTATCCTCCAAGCACGAGCCCCATGCCCGGTGTACTGCACAAGTAACACAGTACCCTCTTCGCAGCATCCCAGTGCACCTTTCGGAGTCTATCGGGAGCCACGTAGCGAGACAGGAGGCTGAGAGTGTACGCGAGGTCAGGTCGTATGCACGTCATCAGGTACATGAGGCAAACCACAAGCTCTGGATACGGACCATTCGGCTCTACGGACTCGTTCGAAGGTGGAGCTGAGAGCGAGTGGCTAGTAGGCAGAGGAGTGGGCTGTGGCGAGGAAAACTAGAAGCCGAAGTGCTGAAGGACTTGGTGCACCGTGTCTGACTTAGCCAGGGTGATGGTGCGCCGTGCTCTGTCCCGGGTGATCTGCAAGCCAAGATAGCTCCGCGACTCACCCAGGTCAGTGCAGGTGTGTCTCTCCTGCAGCTCCACCTTCACTAGGGCCAGCGCCTCAGTGTCAGCAGTAGCAAAAACCAAGTCGTCGACGTACACGAGAACGTAGAACGGCGGCAGAGTAGTGTCGGTGCGTAGAAACAGCGACGGGTCAGCAGAGGAAGGAGCAAACCCAAGAGCCGCAAGTGTCGTCCTCAGTGTGTCGTGCCACTAGCGAGGCGCCTGGCGAAGACCGTAGACTGGCCGCCGGAGGCTCCACTGGGTACCCGCAGGAAACGACCCAGTGAAGCCAGGTGGGCGACGCAGCCAGATCTCCTCGTGAAGGCTGCTCTGCAAGAAAGCTGTGGAGAAGTCAAGGGAGTGCAGCTCGTAGTCACGCTGTGCTGCAACGTGCAACAACACCCGAAGAGTAGTCATCTTCGGGGTGGGGGAGAAGGTCTGGAGCCTGTCGCTGACTGAAGCCTCGAGCAATGTAATGCGCCTTGAAGGCCGGTGGAGAACCCGGCGGCCGCTTCGCTATGAAAATCCACATGCCATCGACAATGTTCGCCCCAGGAGGAGGAACCTCGTCGACGTAGGTGCATGTGGACTTCCAGGAAGCCATCTCTGCGTCCATGGATGCCTGCCACTGAGAGGAGTACTCATCCGCGATCACGTCAGCGTAAGAGCGCGGGGTAGGGATTTCAAGTGCATCCGGGTCTCCCTCATGGCAAAGCAGCATGGATGCGAAACGAGGTAAAGCGGCTGCGAGACACTCAAGCTCAAACTGTCTGTCCTCAAGGACATCACTGCCAAGGGCAGGCTCACCTCCGACGGACAGAGGACAGACAGACTCAGACTCAGTAACAAGACTCACGACGTAGTCGAGATGACTCTAGCAGCAAAGTCGACGAGCTCATTGAATAGGGAAAACACAGTAGTGGACTGAAAGTCAGGGTCATTGACGACAGTAGCGAGGAGACGAGTGATAATAGGACTGGCAGCACGAGTAAGGTCGGACTCGGGGTCAGGAACGTCAGGAAGAGACGACGCCGGAGGAGATGGCAGGGCAACACGCTGTGGAACAGAGGAAGGACGAAGTGCCATAATGTGAGTGCCTGGGACAGCAGGAGGACGAGGACGAGCAACACGATGAGTAAGAACAGGTATGGAAGCATGAGTCTCAGGCTCACGACGCTCAGTCAGGGACTCAGTCACCTCAGTGTGAGGAGCAGGAGCAGGCAGTGGGGAGCCAGGCAGTAGCTGTGGCTAAGACTAGTATGTCGGTGGACACAGGAGAGGTGGAGTGAGGCCAATGGAAGATGGGAAACTAAGAACCTGGCGAAGGACCGAGTCAGGCGGCGGCAGGGACGACTGCAACTGCAGGTAGAAAAACGGTCGGCGCGGGGCAGTACCTGTACCGTCAGCAGCTCCAACACCTCCAGTACCAGTAGCACCTGCACCTCTAGCACCAGCAGCTCCAGCACCTCCAGCTCCAGTGCCTCCAACATCAGCAGTACCTCCAGCACCTCCAGCACCTCCAGTACTAGCAGCACCACTAGCTCCGGCAGCTCCAGCACCTCTAGTACGAGCACCTCTAGGATCAGCAGCTCCAGCACCTCTAGTACCTCTAGCTCCAGCGCCTCCAGCACCAGTAGCACCTCCAGCACCTCTAGTACCAGCAGCATAAACACCTCCAGTACCTCCAGCTCCATTAGCTCGAGTACCTCCAGCTCCGGCACCTCAAGTACAAGCAGTACCAGCAGTACCAGCACCTCCAGTACCTCCAGCTCCAGCAGCACCAACACCTCGAGCGCTGCCAGCTCCAACACCCCCAGCACCTCCAGGACCAGTAGCTCAAGGAGATGTAAAACTCCAAGCTCTAGCACCAGAGCGGCCTCGCCGAACGACCCACTCACGAAGCTGCTGCGGTGAGGGCGTCTCGAGTCAGCTAGGCGGCTGCTGCTGTCCAATGCCAGGAGTTGCAGTACGAGCACAGACGGCCCCAACACCACTAGGACTCGCAGCACCCCCAGAGTAAGCATCCCCAGAGTCAGCACCCTCAGAATCAGCACCCCCAGAACCCTCACCCCCAGTCTCAGCACCCCCAGTCTCAGCACCCCCAGGACCAGCACCTCTTGCGTCCTCACCTCCAGTGTCACCACCCCCAGTAGCACCAGCGTCCACAACTACAGGCTGCAGAGGCGGTGAAGACGGTCGAGGCCGAAAACCAAGAGGGGTCTCCAAGCGTGGAGACCGACGAGTGGTCGCTGTGTCGTCCGCAGCTGGGTCACCCCCCTTAGCTGGGCCCGAGGTGTCAGAGGACATCACCAAAGGCTCAACCAAGGGGGTTGGGTCTGTCAGAATGTTATATTTGTCTAGCCTGCAGTGGGGTACTCAATAGTGAGTACAGCCCAATCTAGGGTTTCCTATATGTACTCAACTGCTTGCTAGTGCAATCAACCTCTCTCATTCATTCCTATTATTCTCACATGGTATAGAGCTGGTTCGATCTTTGGGCCCACCACTGATTTTTTTTTTCCTGCCCGAG